ATCCTTAAGATAGGTACTCCAGGGGGACACGTTGTCTCCAGGTCACTGTTATAGCGTAATTAGGTAAAATATAATATAAACTGCAATCGTAACATTCATGTCGATACTAACTGAAATAATATAATCTGTTTTTGAAATAATTATACTTACTGTCACTTAATTAAGATATATGATATAACCAGTATGACGGTGGTACCGTGTGATGTTTGATTGATGCAGATTGATTGGGCGTCTTCGAGAGCCAGAGTACTTTTGCATCTCGGGCAATTATACGTTTCCTGAGGTTTCACTCCAACAAGTTTGTTGTATCTATCTTGTTTTTTATAAACTTTCACTGTTCCTAGCAGTGCAGCCACAGGTCCTTCCAGGGTCATTATCCGATCTGGCCGGGCAGGCCTTCGTAGGGCCTCTATTCTGATTTTTGCCCTCTTGATTCCAATGTCCTCTTCAAGGTCAGTGGTGGTGTTTCGCCGGGGACCACTCGCCTCTGTCCGGAGCCCAAAATAACCCCGAGCATGGCTGATGATAAGAAAAAGTCAATCCTTCTGCTGGCCTTTTTATTCTTTCCAATACCTCCAAAGTGTAACTGTCTAAAAGAGTAAAAGGTCTGCCATAACTTGCCTTAGTTTAAATGGGGCTTAAGTTAATGGGGTAATAATTGCACTAGGTATGTAGAAAACGTACAATTTTTGTAATGGTAGATTAGCTTTTTAGTTTGTAATTTACACTAAATAATGGTCTATGAGTGTTATGACGGCTTGTATCCGGTCACCTTTGCTCACCTTACTAGTACTACTCTCTTTTTTTTCTTTTTATTTAATATCGGCCCATATAGATATTGAGTTATAGTATTAATATAGTAGTTTCAATTAAACTAGGCGCAAACACGTCCTTACTTGACATTAAATAACTTACGGGCAATATTACTGGCGGTGCTTAGGACGAGCAGAGCTGGTGGGATAGGGAGCACCGTAATATTACCTAGGAATTTATAAACTATTAGAAATTAATAATTAACGTACAAAGAATAAATCTAATACTACAAAACGTGGATCAACAGTTGGAAAAATACTAATAATATTTCCATGATCATCTAATCAATCTTTCGTAATCGTATGTAGAGGTTGGTGTTTACCGGGATCTTGAGGACTAGTCAGGTACTTATTTAGACGTCTGATTCAAAGTGAAACGCGTTATATTAGTTTTACTTCTTAAAAGGTAAAGTCAGCAAAGGTTTTTAAGAATATGGGAACTATAAACACAAGTTCATTCGTATCTTACAAATCAGAAGAGACAGACTTTTCTTACAATCGTAGCCACGGACGGCTATGGAGGTGAAAGTAGTGTCATGTGAGTCGTGTTTCTCAATTGTGATTGGCTGATGTTAAGATAGTGTTAGGACGGTGAAAGGTGAAGGTAGTTACTTAGTCTTAAGGTTTCTGAGAATGAATTCGTGAGGGAGGTATTACTAATAGGTGTGAACTTGAAGTGTTGAAAATTGTAGGCAATGCTTTGTGAAATTAGTATGAGTTTATTTGAAGCCGTCCGGTAATAAAACATGAAATATTAGAATTAAAATTAAGAAATGAAATTATATGCTCTACAATCTTCCGTTCAGAAATTTAGTAAAATTTAAGACCCTCCAATAATTTAGTAAAATGTATTAGAATTATAAAATAACAGGTATTACAGTTTTAAAAGGTGAAGTAATAGGCATGCAAAACATCAATTAATAAACATTTAAAAAAATTTAAACGAGTAAAACATACGAAAATGTTAGTGTTTTACACTGTTAACTTAACCTTCGATATCGATTCGTTTCATTTCGTAAGTTAACTTCTACACGTATACTTCTATTCGTCTTTCGTTTTAGATTCGTTCTTGTTACACAAAAAAAATTCGTTACATTACATAATCATGTGATTCGACTCACTGATCATCCAGGGTGTATTAGTCAAGGAAGCGGGGGAGTCTCTTTAGGCACGCCAGTTAATCTCACAGATATTATAAAATTAACTGTGATCTAGCGGCTATTTCTGTGATCACAAGGGTACAATTTTTTCTTTCAAATAACTCCTAAATGTTACACGTGTGCTTAACATGAAATGAAGAAATGAAGAAATGAAGAAATGGAGAAATGAAGAAATGAAGAAAATATGAAGAAATGAAGAAATGAAGAAACGAAAAAATGAAGAAATGAAAAAATAAAGAAATAAAGAAATAAAGAAATAAAGAAATAAAGAAATAAAGAAATGAAGAAATGAAGAAATTAAACTGTGGGGCACCATGGGCAGTTCTTGTGCACCTTCAAGGGCCAGAGTGCTTTTACACCGTGGACAATTGTAGGTTTCCTGGAATTGCAATGCAATAAGTTTTTTATACCGCTCCTGTATTCTGTATGTTGTCATGTTCAATACCATAAAAAAGAGCATAAAAATGCATAACACCAAACATAACAAAAAAGTGTTTAACTCAATAATCAAACTAGTTATGTAACAGATTGCCAACGAGGAGGATAAATTCTAGCAGTAGATTGAATGAAAAAATATTTACAGTCCCCGCCATTGAGATTTGTGCAAGTTCTTTTTAGTTTCCTGTCCCATATGTTGAACGTGGTTACTTTCAGCTCAAACGGTATATTTGACGTTACCATCATTTTAACATGCCTATCTAAAATTACCACACGATCGATTGTCCCAACAATTGTGAGAAGTTCAGTTGACATGGTCACTTGCAGGTCAAAAACACAAAATTTTGTTAAGTCAAATAAGATGAAACAGTAGGGTTAATATCCTCACCGTGAATCCATGTATTTATACCCGTTCCTGTTAATTAGTTTAAATATTTAATTGTGATAAGAAAGTATCCTTTTTGATGAGTTTTTGATTAAATTTTCAGCTTGCATTCACTTATCAGTTCGAATATAATGCTGCAGAACTTTTACTAGCAAGTTGTTTTAATATATTTATATCAATTGTTGATAATTAGTTTAATATTCAATTGTGATAAGAAATCCTGTACCGGTTCCTTTTTGATGAGTTTAGAAATACCCTTATCATAAAAAAATACTTACAGTCCCTCCTACGAGTTGTTTGGCGATTCTTTGCAAGTATGTCCATCAGAGCGACATCGGGGGGCATTGATAAGTCTCATGCTCTCTCAGCGACTTTATGTTTTTATATCATCCATTCAGAACATAACTTGCCTCCACCTGAGAAAAAAGTGAAGATGATATAGAGACCAATGAACATGTCATCAATCATAACGTCGGGCGTTCTTGTCGTCGTCCTTCTGGCGAGTTGCTGTGCTGCCTCGTGGAAACGTGGTAACGGTATAATAGACTGATGATCTAGTTCCGACATGGGTGGGTTCGTCACATTGCTGTTGGGGAAGGATAGGGTTAGTAGCGTTAAAACACCAGCTGGGGAGTACAAATTTACGGCGTATTTCTGGCTGACGTCCCTTGACGTCAGGTTGTGTCTCAGATTACATCTCATTTCTGAGGTTGCTGCCGAATTTCAAGCTTAGCTTCTGACGTCCATATTAACATCAGTTTATTTTTTTCTTGAAGTCCATTGACTTCATCGTCGAGTTTAGTTGACGTTTTATTTATATTTTATATATCGCTTAAACTTATCTCGGACGTTATTTTAAAAAAAATTAATTCAAGCTTGCTTTAGACGTTAATTTAAAAAAAATTTACTTCACTTCTGACGTTATTAACGTTAATCGTTATATTACACTTAATGAGGGCACGTGAGGTCACGTGAATTTTTGTCTGTGTTCTAATAAGATATTAAAGGCAATGCTGAAATGTGATAAACAATGAAGGTGTGATCACCACTGTATGAGACCTAATTACCTAATTACAGTCGTATCTTACGGTGAGATGCCTCCCATTACTTGACTAGTTGTCTAATGTGACGCCCAGATAACTGAATCTTGCTGTACAGTGTACCATATGATATTTGAAACCATTAAAGTCCTTATAAGCTTATAAACCCTGCAAAATCCGTTATATCACTCACTGTAATATAGTCCATTTCTTGTTAGTCTCTTAGTTTCAAATCTCTTGTAATAGTGAATCCGTGTGTCCGCGTTGTTGTAGCGTGAGCGTAGAAATAAAACAAGTTGTTAACACGTAATCATAGAGGCTAGGGAAGAACAAATCGTTAATAACAAATTATGATAGCAATCAATGTTCAATATATATAACAATCTCCCTTCGGCAAGTTATAGCTAGTCGGCCGATACAACTAGCTGCGCTCGCGTTTAACACGAGGAGCTAGGCGCGCGCGCAAAATTGAGGTCAGGAGGACTGTCACTTTTTAGCGCTGACTAGCTTAACGTCGCCGCGCGTTCCATACATGTGGAACAGCTTTTGTGACCAAACTGGTCTTTAACTTTAACTGTCAGAAAACAGAAATAAAAAATACTTTCTCCCCACAGGTCGGGACAAAATTAGCGACATTTTGCTTCTTAAACGTTAAAAACTTGTAACTCATATTTCCATAAAATTGGATTAGCCACGTTCTCTGTCGAATTATTAAAATACATATAAGTTAAATCAGGAAATCTGTAAAATTTAAAATAATGAGTGACTCTAAAAATGTGATAAAAACAGCGGTTTGACAAATATTACAACATACGGGTTTACAATGATTTCAGTTCGTGATTACTCATTCTAACTCATGGTTTTCATTTTAGTGATAGCATCACTCTTAGCACTTCTGGTTGGTCTCAAACGCGGTTCAGGTAAGGGTGCACCACCTGTAGCTGTAGGTTTGGACAACTCAGACACCCGGACTTGCTTGTCGTTGGTTTTCAGGGGGGAAGCAACTTTCGGTTGAGGACGCTCAGTCACTTTAGCCGGTGAGGTATCCTTGACTGGGGACGCTGGTTTCGCCACAGCCTCTAGTCTGTTGCCGTTCGGAACTCCTAGGTTTAGTGCATTCATTCTCCGTCTTTCCCTTGTTTCATGCAGCTTCTGGAACTTAATGTCAGAGCGAGCTATCTCTCTGGTTAACAGCGTTTTTTTGCGGTTTTATTGCGTCAGCGTGTTGGACCACGTAATTGTTCGAATTATCACCGAGTCTTTTGATTACTCTAGCTTGTTCCCAGTGGCTTTTGTCGTCCATTTTGGCGAAAATGAGCTGATTTTCCCGGAACTCTCGAGTTCTGGGGTGTTCGTTAATTGCAACTTGCAGTTTCTCAGATTGCAATTCCTGCTCCCTCATCCGATCGGTTGGTTTGATTTGGTGTAGTTTAGATCGCAGAGTTCTGTTGAACGCTAACACAGCTGGTGTTTGACCAGTAGACGAATGGGGTGTGTTGCGGTAAGTTAGCAGAAAATCGTTCAGATTCTTGCACACGTCCTTACTGGTTACAGACATCTTTTTCAGGGCGGATTTAAACGACTGAACAAGTCGTTCGCAGATTCCGTTTGATTTGGGAGAATACGTCGGAACAGTCACGTGCTTTATACCACAGGATTTCAGATATCCCTCAGTTTCATCCGACACGAACTGTGGTCCGTTATCCGTTACCAGACAGATTGGAATACCTGTACGAGAGAATATGGATCTAAAAGCACGTATTGTAGCACTAGATGTTGTATTTGTGTTCATTTGAACAACTTCAGGCCACTTGCTGTAAGAGTCTACTAATAATAGCCACATGCTGCCCAGGAATGGGCCCGCAAAGTCCGCGTGTACTCTTTGGAAAGGTGCACTGGATTTAGCCCAGGGGTGGTCAACGACTTTAGTCATGTTCTTACCATACTTGGCGCATGTCTCACACGTCCGAGCAGTATCCTCGATTTGTGTGTCAAGACGTGGCCAGTAAACGTAAGATCTGGCCAAGGATTTCATACCTGTTACTCCAATGTGAGTGGCGTGCAGAATATCCATTACAGTGCTTCTCAGTTTAGCGGGAATCACGACACGGGCTCCCCAAGTTAAACATCCAAGTTCATGGCTCAACTCGTCTCTTCTAGTCCAGAAAGCTTTGAGATCACCGTCACATTTCAGATTCTTCGGCCAACCATTCAGAGTGTATTCCAAAACTCTGCTCAGAATCGGGTCCTTACGAGTGTCGTTCGCCACTAACTCAGCATTGAGTAAAGTCTCGCTCATAGTCAGTGCAAACATATCACCAAACTCGTCTCTCTCCCTCACAGGGTGTGTTACCGATTTTGGCAGCCTGGATAACATATCAGCGTTAGCATGATCCTTGGTATTACGATATTGAATGTCATACTGGTAATTCATAAGGAATAAAGCCCACCTAGTTAACCTACCGGCAGTCATCTCTGGAATTGGCTTATCGCCAAATATACGAACCAGCGCACGATGATCTGTCACCAAGGTAAACTGTCTCATATACAAGTAAATATGTAGGCGCTTTATGGCCCACACTATGGCCAGGGCCTCTTTGTCCACTTGAGCGTAATTCCTCTCGGCCGGTGACAGGGTCCGGGAGATGAACTCAATGGGGCGCTCATCCCCATTCAGCATAATGTGAGACAACACTGCGCCAATGCCACCGATTGAAGCATCAGTGTCCAGTTTAAGAGGAAGCTTGGGATTGTAAAAGGTCAATACACGGTTAGAAGCCAGCAGATTTTTCAATATTTTAAACGCTGTCTTTTCGGTATTTGTCCACACCCACTTTACATTCTTAGCTCTCAGCCTTTCAATTGGAGCAATCACAGACGACAAGTTGGGCAAATAGCGCCTGTAATAATTCACAGCCCCCAAAAAACTAATCAGTTCGTCCACATTCCTAGGTTCTGGAGCCATCAGCATACTCTCGACCTTGCTTTTCACGGGTTTGATCCCTTCAGCAGACACCACATGACCCAGATAGACAACTTCTTTTTGCATGAAAGAAGTTTTTTCGGTTTTACATTTAAAACCTCGCTGCTCCAACCTACTTCTGACATTATTGAGGTTGATCAGATGGTCACTCTCATTTCGACCAGAAACTAATATATCGTCAATTCTGCAGCACGTCATAGGCACACCCCACAGAGTGTCATCCATACATGACTGGAATATAGCCGATGCACTGTTGATGCCATCCGGCAAGCGATTCCATTGATACAACCCTTTGTGCGTATTCAGGGTGGTCAAGACACGGTCCTCATTTCTTATCAACAGGTTATTATAAGCCTTTTTGATGTCAATCTTAGAGAACGTTTGTCCCCCCTGCACAGCATTCAGACATTCCTCCACGGTAGGTAGAGGGTATTGTCGGGTGCTGATACATTTGTTCAGGGTCGATTTATAATCCCCACAAATGCGCACTGACTGCCCTCCATCCTTCTTCACAGGCACTATGGGTGTCCCCCATGGACTGTCTTCGACTTTGGTTAGAATCTTCGCTTCAACCATATCATTTAACTCACTTTCAACCTTGTTTCTCAAGGCATAGGGTAGACTACGGGCTTTCATCATAATAGGTTTGGAGTTGTCCTTCAGGACCAAACTTGCCTGTACACCCTTAACTAGTCCTAAACCCGATTTAAACACCTCGCTCTGTTTTAACTGAGCGATACTACGACATTGATCAACCCGAGTACAGGTGTTTTCACATTTCCACCTGTTTTTCACGGTCGCACCATCGGTTAGCATGTCACCCTTATCGACACCACTCCCAGAGCAGCTTTCACAGCTCACTGACACCTGCTGGGATTTGTCTGGGGCTACATTATGTACTAACTTTGTGCTGAGCAGCTTCTCTAGCCAATTCTGTCCACAGAACTTTACAATCCACGGTCTTCCAAACAAACTGGGGAAGTCCTCTGCTACATAGAGCTGCATTCCATGAGCTTTTTCACCGTTCAACTCTACATTAACTACAGCACAGCCGTCAACTGTTTTGATTTGTCCGTTTGCAACCCGTAATGTTTGCCTGCTGGGTGTAAGTGTTAAATTGGCCAAGCCACAAGATAATAATGTACGTTTGCTCACAACAGACACTGCAGACCCTGAATCGAACTCCATAGACAGAAGTTTACCGTTGATTTCTACTTCTACATACGGTTTGCTTAACTCAATCATATTGACATTCGGAAACACATTATCAGAAACTAAACTTAAGTCAGACTTATCAGTGGTAATAGTGGAATCGGGATCACAAACAAGATAACTAAAATCAAAGGCATTAAACACCTTATCCCTCACATACATATTTGAAGATTTCGAATCAGTTAAATGAGTAAGTTTAGAGAAATCAGCACACAGATAAGAACATGTATTAGCATTACCTTTTTCAATCTCAACTGAATTACACTCATTGTCATGATCATACTCGGGGTAAAGCTCATTGTCCAAGGCATTTTCACAATTCTCATCCATACCGAACTCATAACTCTCCGAACTCGACTCTCCTTGTTCAATGTTGTGAACAATGCTGTTTTGCTTGCAATTCTTGGAGATGTGTCCAATACGTTTGCAGATATGACACCGGACTTGACAATTTTCACCAATATGTCCACGAAGTCCGCACCGTCTACATTTAAGTCCCTTTTGCATTCCACTTTTCTGCTTTCCACCCGAACCACCTGAACTTTCCCCCTTCTTCCCATAGAGGTTTTTCATTGTTCTTTTGAATGTTGGTTTCACAAAGTTCACTGATCTCGATGACTCTCCCGGTGATAACGTGCTATTCATGAATTGAGCCTCCCTGTCTTTCAAACCAGCTTTTTTGACAGCATGTGACGGTTAGTGGCTCTTTTGTCCTCGTCGCCATTTGTTGTAGCGTGAGCGTAGAAATAAAACAAGTTGTTAACACGTAATCATAGAGGCTAGGGAAGAACAAATCGTTAATAACAAATTATGATAGCAATCAATGTTCAATATATATAACACGCGTCCTATACTATATTATGTAGTTATTGTGTGACTCCTTTTTCTTCAATTTTTATTATTCAGTTGTTTTAAATATAAGTAAACCTCATTTTAACGTAACGAATTTATGAAGAATTACGTAAGTTATAATTATTTAAAAACTCTTTCATCTTCCTAAATATTCTAAATGTTCCAAATAATTTCCAAATATTATAACGGGGAATTAAGTGAAAAGTAAAAATGGTTATTGGTACTGGTGTTCGCAATTCTCCACACTCCAAATTGTCCATATTTTTTCTGCAACGTTGGATGTTTTATAAAAGTACAATGATATCAAGATTATAAAATTGTTCAAGAAATGAATTGTAGTGATTTACTTTTTTATTTTTAATTAATTTTTCTATTTCATTTAGACAAATTAAAATACAAAATAAAATAAAATAAAATGACATTTAAAAATAAAAAAAGTTATGGACGGTTTAACTTTAGATAAGCGATTGAACAGCGTCCGACATATTATCTGCGCTCCAACAATCTCCCTGTAGAGGAGACTATGCTCCTCGGGACTGAGTAGGAGTAACCACTCACAATAGCATACGTGCAGCATTTCTTCCCCCACCCTCACAAGGAAACGGTCTCCCCCACATTTAATTACAATTCCGGAACCGACCATGTTGCTAATTGGTTGATAAATGTTAAGATACAAAATTGTATCTATGGCCCATTGTTTGTGGAGATATACACATTTCACTACGGTTTATAGTGAACAACAATAATAATTGGGCCGCACTTGGTATGCGTTGGGTGGCTTCCAGCCCTTCTCGTGGGGGGCCTGTGGAGCTGTTTCACACGTCGCCGACAACATGCAACATGTGTTTGGTAACCAAGCCATCCTTAAGATAGGTACTCCAGGGGGACACGTTGTCTCCAGGTCGCTGTAGCGTAATTAGGTACAATTAGGTAAATATGATATAAACTGCAATCGTAACATTCATGTCGATACTGACTGAAATAATATAATCTGTTGTTAAAATAATTATACTTACTGTTGCTTAATTAAGATATATGATATAACCAGTATGACGGTGGTAACGTGTGATGTTTGATTCAATGAAAACGAAAAGTTTGCTCCGGCATCTTGGACAGTTATATATCTCTTGTGCTTTTACTGTGACGAGTTTATTAAATCTATCTTCTTTTCTGTAGGTTATTAAAACCTGGGAAAATATCAATTTGTTAATTAAGTGTTATATTCAATATCAGAAAAAAAGAGCATAAAAATATAACACCAAACATAACAAAAAAGCATTCAACTCAATAATCGAAATAGTTATGTAACAGATTGCCAATGAGGGGAACAATTCTAGCAGTAGATTATATTAGAAAATACCATAATCATAAAAAAATACTTACAGTCCCTCCATCGAGTTGATGCGACTGCTTGTTAATGTGACTCTCCCGAGGTTGTTCAGAGGATGTCTTTCTCTGCTAGTGCTAATGGTGTTAAGCAGGTTTTAATATTGTATGTATAATTATATTAGTTCACATAAAAATGAAGAAAAATACAAATTTAGCGGTTTAGCCGCGGAGAAAAAAGAAAAAAAAAGGGAAAAAAAAGAAAAAATAGAGAAAAAAAAGAAAAAAATGAGCGCAAATAATTAACGATACGACATGAAGAAGAAAAGGATTTTATAATGATATTATTCGGCGGGGTTTCGCATTCTTTGTAGTTCATATTGTTTGTATTGAGGTAGCTTCGCAGTAGCAACAATGAGAAAAGGTAACCTTGTTTAGTCGCTCAAATTTGCCAATCTGTTGAGGGCTGAAGGCCATTATTTAATTTCTTCTCATTGATCTCATCTTCAAACTGTTTTTCCATCATCCTACTGAGTTGTAGCCTATTATTCCATTGCGAAAATGTTGGCATATAATACTGTCATGATATAATTTTAACTGAACTTGTAAATGTAAAAAGTAATTTTAAACAAGTAATTGTCTTGTAAGTGGACTCAGGACTATTCCTTGTGATTTTTGAACACAATTGTCCGATATTCCTCTCCCTCCCCGCTCCATAGCAAATCATGGCCAATACTGTATTTAAATTTGGTGGCGCTCTTAGCCACCAGGGTGAGGGCTAGAGTTACCCTCTTCAGGCACCAACACGTCAAATACACATTCCTCACACTCCTTCACCAGTTCACCTGAGAAATTTAGCCGCGGAGAAGAAAGGAAAAAAAAGGAAAAAAAGAAGAAAAAATAGAGAAAAAAAAAGAAAAAAATTAGCGCTAATAATTAACGATAGGACATGAAGATAAAAGGATTTTAGAATGATATTATTCGGCAGGGTATCGCATTCCTTATAGCTCATATTGTTTGTATTGAGGTAGCTTCGCAATAACAATAAGGACAAAAGTTAATTACTTGTTTAGTCGCTCAAATTTGCCAATCTGTTGAGGGCTGATCGGCCATTATTTAATACCCTCCTCATTGATCTCATCTTCAAACTGCTTTTCCATCATCCTACATTAATCTACCATTATCTCATTATGAAGCAAGAAATTGAGTAATAACGGCTTATTAAACGCAAATGGTTTGATAAGCCGTCTTGTACGCTGTATGCAGACAGTTTGAAATGCGGTTTTATACAGTCAGTTCCGCTCCGAGAGAGAGAGAGAGAGAGAGAGAGAGAGAGAGAGAGAGAGAGAGAGAGAGAGAGAGAGAGAGAGAGAGAGAGAGAGAGAGAGAGAGAGAGAGAGAGAGAGAGAGAGAGAGAGAGAGAGAGAGAGAGAGATGAAAAACTTGTCAATAATAAAAATGAAACTTGGTTACTTCTATCTTCACACATAGGTATTTATATCCTAACCGATATAGACGACAAGCATCACCTCATGACCTGTTTTGTTATCTGTCTGCTTATAATCAGCGATTTTAGCCTGTTAATTCCAGATGTGACATATAACTATCTAGTAACGTCATAATTGTCAGATAATTTATATTTCTCTCTCTGAATCACTGAATGTTACACTACTATTACAATATACATCTTATTTTCGTATGGCACGATCTCCAAGATACACTGTATGGGGTTGTTGTTTAGGCAAGGGCTTTTCTTGACGTTTAGGGAGAAAATTGCTTCTCTCATATTCCTGACTGTTTTGTCAACAAGGTGGTAAATTGGAACTGAACTCAAATTCATGCGTATATTATAAATCGGATAATTCATCTGCATGATTTATTTTCTAAGGATCGATAATAATTTGATAAAAAATGAGAATATAAAAGGCAAGTGCTCAATAAACTTCATTCCGATAAACATTGACGCCTATTGAAAAAAGAAAAATTATAAGCCAGATAAAAAATGAAAACAAAAAGAAAGAGAAATGTGAAGAATTATAGCGTTAACATTGAGAAGAACAAAATATTGTACAATTATATCGTTTGAGATGGCATATTGGAGTATTACAAAAGTTTTGAGTTAAAGTAATGACTTATTTATAAATCTCTCATAATTAATGTGAAAGGTTTCAATTATTTTTCAATCATTAGTTAACACTTGAAAGTTCAATACATCCCCCCTCCATTCAGCCAGAAATGACTTTTGTATTACCTCATCGTAGAGAGGTGACCTTTCAAAAATCATTTCTGACTGGATGGTTACAGACTATACAGAGCCAAATTTGGCTGTGAACGACACTCCCTTGCTGTATTTCAGTTTTTTTTGGGATACTGAGGTGATGGTTACCGTTTCAGATAACAGTTGTGGAATCTGATCATCATCAGAGAGTGTTGAACACTCCAGGCACATGCTTTGCGCATCCAACAGAGGCAGCGTTGAATGGCATCGGTCACATTCGTCATTCATAGGTTTCGTGCTCTTTTAGAGACATTAGTCCATTTGTCCACTCTGAACATAACTTGCCTCCACCTGAGAGAATATCAAATTTGAGTAACGTATTCAACATTATAAAAGATATTACTTCATCATAGAGAGAGGACCTTTCAAAAATCATTTCTGACTGGATGGTTTCGGCATTAAATTCAGCTCTAAAGCATATAGCTTTGCTATATTTGAGTTTTTTATTGGTTATTGAAATGATCTTCACTTTCTCACAAAAAAAGTCGGGGATCTCTTCATCCGTGATGGCTGGGCATTCTGAACATGATGTCTGTGCATCATTCAGCGGTAGTGTAGTCCGGCATCTCGGACATAGATATGTTGCATGCTCTTTATGGATTTGATGTTCTTGAAATTTCCATTTATGACATAAGTTGCCTCCACCTGAGAAAATATCGAATTTGAGTAACGTATTCAACATTATAAAAAACGGGAAAACAAAGATTTTTAGAAAAATAAAGTAACGTTTAACAATAGTAGTAAACTTAATTAACAAACTGCTAAAGTAACAGATCTAAATTAGAGATGATATAAAGAATGAGCATGTCATCAATCACAATTTTTTTTAAATCATCAAATAATACTTACATATTTGCCTAGCAATCTTCTGGCCAACCTCTTTATATCCTTTGCCCATATATTGAATGTATTGGTTTTTAAGTTTTAACTCAAACGGCACTCGAATGGCAATCTTGATTCTTAAATATAAATCGACCGGTTCGAGCTTAACAAGACATCCATAAAGGGTAGACATGATCAATGAGTGTTTTAGTATGGGGTGTTGTAACACTGTTGTTGAGAGATGGGAAACTGAACTAATTAATTCACAAACAAGTTGTTGTATTTATACCCATAT